TTCAGAATTTTAATGTATGGTTCTTCAATTCCAGTATATGTGCTCTGTGGACCCAATGATGCTTCCTCTTACTGATTGCATTGCCTGGTCAGTCTTCTGTGTGAGACCATGAGTGCAGTGACATGAGAAACTATAACTTTCATCTCTGTATCCCATGCAGTGAGACATGGCTTAGAAAACACTGGTGCTGAATGAATCAGAAATGCATGCTTTAAATTCACAAGCAGAGCCGTGATGGACTCTGTGTTTCTCCATCTAGCCTGGCTAATAAATCTTTCTACCACCTAGTGGCAAAAAAACACTTCTGGGATCTGCTGATCTGAAGTAAAACAAACCATATCTAAAACTTAGTTTTGCAAATAGAATGTCGAGGAGCAAGCATGTGACACAATCTGCTAAAGAGTATTCCAAATAATGTAACATGTCAGTGACTTGGACTCTGGTCCGAAGTGTCCACAGCATTATGGAAAAGGTGAGATACATTAACATAGACTACTGAGTCCTGTGGAGAAAAAGGGACGGCATGGCTTCTCTCTGCAGTGGAGAGTTCCTTGGAGCACCTCAGCCACTCTCTCAGGAGGAGAGCTCTCCAACTCTTGCCTTGACAGGCTTTTATGGGCTTTTTAATAGCATACATCAAAGAAGGTTCTCATTCATTATACTTAGGTTTGCTTTAGGTAATTACTTTTTACAGATAGCAATGGAAGGGATGTTACAGATTACTTCTTACAGATTAACAAGGAAAAATGCTGCAAATTCAAGGAAACAATAAGAGTAACAGGTCTGGTTATACTGCAGTCCTCAGGAGAACTAGCACAGACTTCAGGACGTTATTTTAAAGATATGCAGCACGCATTTTCTGACTGAACTTAGAGTGAGGGAGTTTCAGCAAGAGCAAGTGACAAAGCAGCCTAGGTATAATGCAGGCCTAATTTCCCACAGGAGAACTTCTTCATGGGCATGGTCCTGCTTGTGAACTCATCCCCCACTGGTTTTCATATGGGTGCTGAGATCCATTTCCACATCTGGAGAAGTGGTTCCCAATATGTCAGTCCTGTAACTTCCAATCAATTTTTCTGTGAACCTAAAACTGCTTCAAAAAATAAATAAAAATCCTTTTTCTTCATTAATTGTCAAAGTCTTTATAATCATTGACTATTGAATTATAGTTTTTCTTTCACCCTTGTGTGTTTACATCTCACTGTGTTTATCAACTAGCAAAGCCTGAAGAAAATTTAAATAGTTAAGATAATTTAGAAAAATTCAACTAGAGCTTGGTAGGCCTTATGAAACTCCTGGGACTGATTTTTGTTTTTTAAACAAGTCTCACTTTTAAGAAAAAAAATCATTCATTTGAGAGACAGAGGATGTTTCCTATAGTCGCCTTGACCGGAGATGGAACACCCGACCTTAGATATGCGGGCAGTGCTAGAACCAACTGGGCTGCCCAGCCGGGGCCTCTCATTTACATTTAAGTTTGTGTAATGAGGGGGAGGATCATCTTCACCATGCTGTGGAGATGAGGACGGGAACATCACCGAATGCACAATGAGAAGGATTGGGACAGTTGGCAACTGGTGGGATCAAAGCCAAGACCATGCTGAAAAAAGGAGCCAGTTTGAGATTTGGGGTGAATTCTGGTTTTGACACCTGGAGAAGGGTGTTCCAGAGGAAAATGGTTTTTGAAATGTCAGTGAGGTCACTACTTTGTGATATGAGTTCCTGTGGATATGGGACTTCTTCGTGTTACAATGATAAATAACCTCATGGGGCATAGTTTGATCATGCCAGAAAAGCTTATAGACTAAACAGAATTTGCAGATCCCCATGACAGGGAAAGTGGCAGGAGACACTGAGAGGCCATGTGAAGGAAGCAGAACTTTCTGGTCCTTGAGAAGGAGTGTCTGATGAATGAGAGCCCTTCAGTAAGTGTGGTGAATGTATGAAGCAAATCACTGCACAATGTCCTTTTCCCTGTTGAACTTGCCAGCTCCTGGAGACTCAGTTCAAGCATCAGGGCACAAGGGATGCCCGCCCTTCCTCTGGTCTTTGGGACACATGCACACTGTGCCACCCGGGTGATGTGTGACACTTGCCATTGGATTTCTCTTCGGTTTTACACAAAATTAAAAAGACTGAATGCTGGTCTAGCCCAGTCTAGGTGTCTGCAATGGCTCTGGGAGAGATTTTCCTCTCTGGTTCTTTTACCCTAAATATATTTGACCTCTCTAGGAAGATAGAGGTGGGAAACCTTCAGCTTCATTGTAATAATTAACATGTCATATTTCTGACAACCTGTTGCCCCCACTCAGTTACTATTACTGTGGGGAAGTCAATTGAAATCTAGCTTATGAGAAAGAGAAAGAAGGGGGCACAGGGGCTTGGGTGGAGGTGGGCAAATGGGGGCAGGAAAATGGTGTCATATGTAAGAGTATCACTAAGAAAAATAAAGTTAAATAAAAAAGAATTAGCAAATGTAATAAACATATCCAGAAACTCTGTATATGGTGCATTCCCAGCATAGGCAAGGCTGGAAAATGTGCCTACAGTCTATTTGTCTTTTCAATATGGAATAAAATTGTGGGTTTATTATAGGAATATGATGAATTTTAATATTAAATGATAATCCAATTCCTTATACTAATATTCCTATGGAAAATTTCATTGATAGTTGGTAGAAGTCATTTGTTAAATAGTAATACATGTTATATAATAAAACAACACAAAAATTGTGGTACATATACACAATGGAATTCTATGCAGCAGAGAGAAAGAAGGAGCTACTACCTTTTGCAACAACATGGATGGAACTGGAAAGCATTATGCTGAGTGAAATAGGCCAGGTGTTGAAAGACAAATACCATATGATCTCACTTTAACAGGAAGCTAAACAACAAAACAAACAAGCAAGCAGAAAAAAAAAACCAAAGACACTGAAATAGAGAACAAGGGGACAGTGACCAGAGGGGAGAGGGAAGGGAAGTTAAGGGGAAAAACCGGGAGGGATTTGGAGGAACAAATAGGAAGGACACAGGGACAAGAACTAAGGGGGGTGGAAATGGGAGGGAGGTGGGGAGCAACGGGCGGGGAGGCTGGGATGGGAGAAATTGACAAAAAAATTGTACTTGAAAAATAACTAAATAAAATAAAAAAACAACAATACAAGTAAATGGGTATATTCCTAATCAGTTATACTTTATCTTAAATATATATCAATCAGCATAATTTTAATAGTAAATTCTTTAAACATTAGATTGAAAGTCAAATACAAGACAAATACATCTCACTATTATTACCTAACAAGGTTCTGGATATTAAAAGAACACTTAGAGAAAATATTAGACCTATAAAAATTGTTAATATTACCATTTTTATGAAAACTGGTTACCTACAAAAACAATAAAAATAATTCACTTATATATCTAGTTATCTAAATGCTCAAACTTTAATGATTTTCATGTGAAAATGATACAATTATTTATATAATGCTTATATGCATGAGAACAGAATATGGAAATAGCCAGCAATACACAGGAAAAAAACTAATGAGAGGGCAATAACCTTAAATAGATTCTCAGACATACCAGTGAACCAAATAGTCGAAGCAACGTGGCACTGGGAGGAGAGTTCACAGACAGACCAGGAGACGGGAACAGTGTCCATGTCTATGTCTACAGCTCAGTGTCTATGTATGTACCTATGTGCCCATGTGTCTGTCTCTCTATCCCTCCCCTCAATCCTGAATGATGAATGTGAGATTCACCTGCACCCGGAGCAACAGGGAGGAATTAAGGCTTCTCTACAGAGGCACTTATCAAATTAAAGAGTGGATCTAAAACAAAATATATACATATATATTTGAAGTTATAGAGATGTAAGTCTTACAGAGATGTAAGAGTTAAGTATATACATAAACAGTGCTTCCTGCATGAGCTGCCCACTCTCACATTTCAGAGAGGCCAACTTTTTCCTCACACCAGACAGTGCAAGAATCCAGAGGTACAGTTCTTGCAGGGGGTGTAGGAGCCACAAGCTCAAGGGGCCCCCTGACAACCTCTGGCAAACAAAAAATGAGAAAAGTAAATCTTTAGAAATACAATTTCTTAAAAAGTACAGTTCACATACATTATTACATTACCTTCGGGTATACACACCTATGATTAGACAGTACATCACTGAATGAGTGATCACCCCAGTAAATTTCACACCCTTCTGATAAAGGCACACAGTTATTAGACTATTATTGCCTATATTCTCTATGGTATAATTTACATCCCCATGACTGTTACATAACAAGTGTGCTTCTTAATCCAGTCAGCTTTTATGCCCACCCACCCAAGGCCCTCACACCTGCCAACTGTCAAAATGTTCCAAAAGAAAAACTCCTGACTTTGAAAATACTCAGTCTAAAGCAGAGTGACCGCCACAGCCCAATCATCTGTTTCCAGAGCCGTCACTGCACAGAGTTCCTGGGGATGGTGAAGATGGTGTAGGGGGACCCAATACATGTGCATAACTGATATTTCTTCTCCCAGCAGGACCCTCTCCTCCAGGTTTATGGGCCTGATATTAAGAGTACTCTCCCAAATTTCATAGTCCCCAATGTGTTCTATCCTTTACTGAGGATGGGTAGGGGGATGAAGGAACAAGCAAAGAAATGAAAGGGAAAAGAAGAGCAGCCCTTCTTTTATTGCAGAAGTCATGGATTTTTGGGGTGAAGCTCTGTGTCCCAACATTTTGGGAATGAACAAAGCTCAGTTGGAGTCTGAGTCAGAGGTGGACCCTGAGAAAGATGAGCTGCAGCTGCTGTCCTCACAGTCTTCATCTTCATCCCCGCTGCTGGAGTCTGAGCAGCTACTGCTTTCTGCCTTTTCCCCATCTTCCTTATTTTCTTCTGATCTCTGGGAGACATGAGAACGGCCCCCTCAAGTCCTTGCTGACCCTCTCTCTGGAGCCTGCATCCCCTGCTCCTGTGCAAGCCTTCCTTGCAGAGCCCTGGCTCAGGGACAGAGCACTTCTTTCCTCATGATCTTGGGGTCCGGGCCTCCAGTCATGTTCATGTTCTTACGCTTAGCATAGGATCTCTCTCTGTAAGCAGCATATTCTTCAGGGGACAGACTGCTGAGCCAGTGGTCCAGGTCCACCTTGTACTGTTTCTGCAGCTCCTCTGCCTGCTTCTTGTAATGCTGCTTCTGGCTCAGCGGGACACGCTGCCAGCGTCTGCCAATCTCCACCATGCGCTCCCTCATGGGCAGGTCTTGCAGCTCCCTACTTGACCACAAATCCTGGTGGAACTTGTGGTATTCGTTCATTGGGGGCTTCTTGGGCTCTCCATGGAATTTTACCTTCTCAGAAAAATTGTTTACTGGGGGAGATTTCACTGGTTCTACATTTTCCTGAAACGTCTTTTGGACTTTGGTTGAGCTCCTCCTTTTAGGGACAACAGAAGTGTCAGAGTTCTGCATTAGATCAGGGTGGTCCTTCCTAAACTGAGCCATTTTCTCCTCAAACTCCTCTTTCTCTTTTTGGAAATCTTGAATGTATTTCAGCTTCATTTGTTCTGGGAGTTCCTTGTATTTCTTAGACAGAACCTTGGTCAGCTCCTGGTTGTTCATCTCAGGGTGCATTTGGGAGTACTGGGCCCTCTTCTCCGTGAAAAAGCGGAAGTAAGCAGTCAGGGGTCTCTTGGGCAAGTGGGGATGGTTCTTGAGCTTTTTCTTTTGGTAAAAAGTTTTTAAATGTTCCTTAGTGTCCTGAACTATTTCTGTCAAAGTACGAAACCTTCTTGTTTGACTGGAAATTTCTAACCACTTGAGCTTGCACATTTCTGCAGAATAATTTTTAAAAGCCACTTTTCCCCAGTCCACCTTTGACTGGGTCATTTTGAATGTGCGACTGTCATTGGGTGGGAGATTCTTCTCTACAAGGTGTAGTAACATCTCAATGTCTTCTTTGGGCCATTGGTCTTGGCCATTAGTCGATGCCATTTCTAGGACTTTGAGTCCCTTACAAAGTTATATAGACACCACAGCAGAAGCTCAAATATCTTCACTCTTAGGACTTAGCAGTTGAGCTATTTAAGAAGTTTTGCAAAGTGTGGTGCTATATATCTGAGGAGAAAGAGAAGAAATAAATGAGACAATCAGAACCCACTGAGATTTGTCCTTTATATAATTGACTTGCCTAAACAAAATAAATGAAAAATTGCTTACATATAAAGTGAAATTTTGTTTATCTATCATATACTAGACTGTCACTTTTCAAAATCATCTTGTCACCATTCATTCTACCCTTCTTTTGCCAAATCTCATCAGAGCCTCTCTTAAATACAATGACAACTTTCTACTCAGTGCTCAAGGTATGAAAAAATAAAAATCAACCTGTCTTTTGATCCAGCAATTCCACTGCTAGGATCATATCCTAAGAACCTCAAAACATCAATTTCAAAGAACATATGCACCACAATGTTCATAGCAGCACAATTTATAATTGCCAAGAACTGGAAGCAACCTAAATGCCCATCAGTAAATGTATGGATAAAAAAATTGTGGTACGTATACACAATGGAATTCTATGCAGCAGAGAGAAAGAAGGAATTACTACCCTTTGCGAAAACATGGATGGAACTGGAAATCATTATGCTGAGTGAAACAAGCCAGGGGTTGAAAGACAAATACCATATGATCTCACCTTTAAGAGGAAGCTAAAGAACAGGACAGACAAGCAAGCAAAATAAAAACAAATACACTGCAATAGAGAACAGGGGACAGTGAGCAGAGGGGAGAGGGGGAGGGAATTTAAAGGGAAAAATGGGAGGGATTTAGAGGAACATGTATAAAGAACACAGGGACAATATCTAAGGGGAGTAGAAATGGGAGGGAGGTAGGGTGCATGGGGGAGCGGTGGGCTGGAATGGGAGAAATAAACAGAAAACTGTACTTGAAAAATAAGTAAATAAAAATTAAAAAAAAAGAAAAGTGCTCTGGGGAAGAAGATCAAAAATTAAAAAGGAAAGAGAAATGTTGGGAAAAGAAAGGCTTATTAATCTCTAGTGCCTTTAGTGTCGCAACCTTCTAAGTACAATCAGATGCCTGTGCAGGAGTTATGGGCTGGAAATAACATGAAAGAAGCTAAGAAGACATGCACACCAGACTGATATATTTTATGAATGAATTTAAAACCTGCAGTAAATGATTAATTTTTACATTATTTGTAGTGGAAAGGAATATCTACAGAACCATTTTGCTTCTCCCATCTAAGGTCAATAACCATATAAAAATTATGGAATATCTACAGTTTTATTAGATTAGCTGTTCTTCATTATTAATCATCTGTCACTTACCAATCACAACCAGGTTTTCCAATTTAGTTTTAGGTCTCAAGCCGAGATAAGAAACTACACAAAATCTAGAACAATCCCTCTAGGTATCACAATTTGTACAGATGAGGAGGGGGGGCTTTTGCATAAAATGTTAAAACAATATATTATGCAAAACTAAATGTCAAAACAAGAACATTAAAACTTTATAGCTTAAGAATAAACTAAAGTAATGCTGTCATTTGAATTTAACTAGGCAAATTACATTTTCATAGGAAAGTCTTAAGCCAGCCCATAGTTAAATTATCATTTCTATTTTTTAAGGAAAGAAGGACTAAGTCATCTACATGAAAGTGTGTGCTCACCTGATGATTGTGGAATTCTGCTCACTGATGCTCATGGGGTCAAGGATTCTATGTCGTCCGGGCTCTCAATACAAGAGAGGCAGTTGCCACCTTCTGAGCTGTGAACAGTCAAGCCATCCAGGAAGGCCTCCCAGCAGAATGAACCTGGCTTTTGAAGGGAGCTTATCAAGGGACCATGGAAGCTCCGCCCCAATCAGGTTTCCACAGTGTTGAAACCCTGGAGGACAGACCATGACATCAGTGATTAGATTAATGCCTTCAGCGAAGTCTCAGGAAACAAACTCTTTAAACCCCACCCCCATCACTTGTTGTTGGTCCAACCCAGGCATTGACTTTTCACACCATGCACCTGGCAAAATGTCATTGGAGTTTGTGGCCAATATTGGTGAAAATATCCCCACACTCTACTTCCATTCCCACTCCCACATTTGACTTTATTTCAGTGTGGTATTTGAATATAAATCCTTCTCTTAAGGACTAATTTCAGTCTTTTCCTATGGATTAGATCCTAAAAGTCTCTCAGCAGCAGAAAGGCTATTTAAACTGTTTCAATCCCGGTCAATTTCTCCCCTATCTTTAGAGGAGAAGGTAGCACTCTAGATAAAAGTGTGACTATGTTTAGTTCTGTGTTTAGAGAGCTGAGATATGGACGAAAACACGTGTGATTTGGTGCAAGCAATTTGGTGAAATCCAAGCTGGCAATCAGGATATCATGACTGAAATGATGATTTTGTTTTTTTACAGTATCAGGCTTCATCGATTTTTCGAAAAATCTATTCTCCCCCTCCATTTAAGAATTTTATTACTGAATTTCCAACAAGTAATTTGGAAAGATTTTATTACTGAGTTTCTTATGTGAATTGCCCAATGATAACATATTATCAAGACACTCTATATGAATAAAAAGTTTTAACACTTGGTTTATAATGCAGTATGAAAATATGAATTAATTTTGGATTTTTCAACTGATTCATATACATAGACACTGCCAAAGTTTGTCAGAGAAATTTCTGGAGGAGTAAACTCCTCCTGTTTCTCAATGGGAATATTTTGCTGGTGTGGGCTGTTTAAATAAACGTCTCTTTTTCAATACCATGCAATAGTTTTGGTAATGAGAATGAGGCACTACAAGAAGGAAAATCTGTTTTTATAAAAATATACTGCCAAATACATACCACATACCTTAAAATAACTCACATAGACTTTTTCCTGTGCAACCCACAAGGCTAAAGCCCCATCCTCACATTCCCTAGCCCTACCCCTTCCCTGTCACTGGGACCCCACCAAACAGCTCAGGGTTTACAATGCCCACAGTCAAAACGTCACCTGGTTCCCTGACAATTCCCCTGGTGTCCTTGGCAGGTAAAGCACAGGCAGGGCAGGGCCAAGGGCGAGGCCTGGCCTCCCAAGCCTAGTTAGGCAGCCCTTACCCCAGAACCACCACTTGCCTAAACAGCCTGTCAGTCTATGGGGGATGGACGACAGCATGCAGCCCAGACCCCCAGCTCCTGCTCCACTCCTGGCCTGTCTCTGCCCCTGGCTTCTGGGACCACAGCGCCATCGCCCACAGCACCCAGCCACTCAGTTCCTAGAATGCATGCCCACAGGCCTTGTGTTTTGTTAGAGCTCTTCAGAACGTGCCTTCAATGCTGGAGGCCAAGAAGCTCACTCTCCCACTCTCTTGGAGGGGGAGCCCTGCCCGCTTCTGTTAAGTATTCACCTGAGCTAAATCCCACATACAACATATGCCCTGTTCGTCGAACAGTGACATGAAAACTAACATAAATAGTTTTAATGAAATAAGACACATAAGAAACTATACTCTGAAGCACCTAAGCTATATCATTGTTAAACTATGAAATTGGTAAAACATTAAGAAATAATATTCTCATATGGCTGAAATTACGAATTGGGCACTGTCATGTACTATCGGTATGGGTAAGGTAAGTGGAGGCAGTCCGGCTTCCTCACCCAGGTGTCTGGGCAGCTGAGAGAAGCAGTGTTCCCATAGCCTTGAATGGACCTGATAACCAGTGTTCTCAAAGCCTTCAGACCGAGTCCAATAAACTGTTACCATCACATGAACTGGACTCGCATGTGCAGAATTACTTTATTTTACATTCTATCATGTCTGTCATCTTGCCAGCTTTGTCCCCCTCAATTATTTAAACTTTCAGGGTCTCACTGCTGGGGCGATGATGGGAGACATGGGCAAAAAACTCCTGCTGTGATGGGTGCCACGCTGGGTCACAAGGGCCACCCACCCGTGCCACACAGAGAAGTGCAGAAAAAGGAACAGCTTGTAGCGTGCTTGGCTTGCCCCCGAGTGAAGAAAGGCAGGCCAGACATTCCAATGGCTGCATGAGTATTACTTTGTCTTTGTGAATTCCATGAACCAGCCTGACCTTGAAGGGTTTCAAAACAATATGTTATAGATTAATGAAAGGTAGTTTGCCAATATGCTTTAAAATTCTTAAAAATACCTCTGTCTCTGTCCTAGAAATTCTAGTTCCAGAAGAGAAGCCTGAAAAACTTCCTAGACAACACTTAGCATACAAGGAATTTACACCAGCAATTTCTCTTCTCACTGCACACAATCACCTACAGTAGTCTCACTCTTCTCTACCATGTTGTTTTCCTCAGTTTCAGTCACCTGAAGTGAGCCCTTTTCTTCAACCCCAATGTAATCGTCTGTCACTTTTACCATTCCACAACAAGGTTGTCCAATTAAGTTTCAGGTTTTAAGCCTAAATAAGAAACTACACAAAATCTAGAACTTTTCCTCTAGGTATCACAGTTTGTACAGACAAGGAACATAAAATGTTAAAACAATGCATTATGCAAAAGTAAACGTCAAAACAACAACATTAAAACTTTATAGCTAAAGAGGAATCTAAAGTAATGCTGTCATTTGAATTTAACTAGGCAAATTACATTTTCATAGGAAAGTCTTAAGCCAGCCCATAGTTAAATTATCATTGTTATTTTTTAAGGAAAGAAGAACTAACTCATCTACATGAAAGTGTGTGCTCACCTGATGATTGTGGAATTCTGCTCACTGATGCTTATGGGGTCAAGGATTCTGTGTCGTCTGGGCTCTCAATACAAGAGAGGCATTTGCCACCTTCTGAGCTGTGAACAGACAAGCCATCCAGGAAGGCCTCCCAGCAGAATGAACCTGGCTTTTGAAGGGAGCTTATCAAGGGACCATGGAAGCTCCGCCCCAATCAGGTTTCCCCAGTGTTGAAAACCTGGAGAACAGACCAGGGTCAGGGATTAGATTAATCCCTTCAGTGTTATCTCA